ACACAGACACAAACACATCCATGCTCAGAGCTTCCTGCTGACCAAATGCACAGTCCCTCTGCACTCCCTCTACCTCTTGGCTCCTGTGGTCATCACACACATCATGGAGGGAAACACATGGTGCCACACAGCACCACACCTCACCACTCTGCTCATTCTCCTGTGCCTGCAAAGAGAAACACATCCTCACCTTTGCCACAGGAAGTCTTCTAAGGATACATGACTACTGGGTTCCTTTGCAAAGGCCATGTCTAACACTGATCACTGAATGACAATTATAATACGGGGTAGAAAGAGTATGGCAATATCAGATTATGTCATCATTGTTTATCAATTTCATAACTTTGTCATATAAACATCGTCATGTTCTAGGGTCAAACTTGGCATGTGAAAATAAATTGCAAACAGTGAGTGCATTGGAAATATTTAGGAATAGGACTTTAGGCTAAAGCTCCACTTTTCTTTCTAAGTACAATCCCTTGCCCAGGAGGAATAGAGAAAAGATGTAAAAACAAGTTCAAGGTACATTCCATCTGCCTCTAAAATGATCCTGAAGTTTCAGAAGGCTTCTTTTTAATCCCAGCAGTTTGTTGATGAATTCTAACCACCATTTAGCACCATTTAGATCTATGTAGCTTGCAAAGAGCTTTTTCTTCAGTAAGCAGCAGTCATAAAATTATAAAATTGAGAACCTGCATCTGAACCAGGCCTTCCAGCTTATATTCTAGTGCCTTCTAAAAATTCTTCATTATCTAAAACTGCATGGTGGATATTAGATGATGGAAATTTAAGACTTGACAGTTTTGAGAAAACCGGTCTAAATATGATGACAAAAGTTAGAAGGGATTTTATACTGTTAAAGAGCAAAGACCATTTTTTACATGCAGGTAAACAGAGGAAGATGTGACTTTCTCCAATTCCCTTTTTTTTTTTTTTTTTTTTTTTTTTCTTTATTGGTACCGGGGATCAAACTCATGACTGCCTGCTTGAAAGGCAGGTGCTTATGCCGCTGAGCTAAATCCCCAGCCCCTCACTCTCTCCAATTCTTGAAGCAATATGCTCTTACATCCTTGGCTGTGGTTCAGATAGCCAGACTCTCAAACCCCAGCCATCCCTGGTACTATCATGACCTCTTATAGTACACAGATCCATGACTTAATCAGATGCCCAATTTTCTCCACTAGGGAGAGCTTTGTTGGCCAACCTATCTATAGGATTCCATTCCCTTTATCAACAATAGACAAGTGTATCAGCATGTGATGGAATTCAGGTCAAGGAGAAGGGAGAAAAAATTAAGTGAAGGGCATCTGAAGAAGTTTTCTTACAGAGATACAAAACAGAACAAGGAGGAAGACTTTGGGTCTCTGAATACTGGTGGGTTTGGATGTGATGCTGGAAACCGAGATAATCAGGCTACAATTTGAGGTACCAGCATTAGAATGAACCAAATTTGGAAATGCATTAACCCTATGACATTTAAATTTAGTATTTTACCTAAATAAAATAATGCATGATTGTTATTTTAAACCACTTTCAGATGGATATGTAGATTAAAACAAGTATAAAACTAACTTTCTATTGTTTAATCTTCATGATAAAACAGAGCAGAAATTATTATTATAGGCAAAAACCAAGGAAGGAAACTTAAGTTCCAAGACATAAAGCTTCTATCTAAGGCCATGAAGATTTTGCATTGTGTAACACATTCAAATTCAGCCTCCCATCTGACCCCAGGTCCACATGTTCTAGAAACATGAGGAGTGTCTGACCTATAATGAATGGCTTCTGCTCAGTAATGAATCATTTTCATTCTGACACCACAAATAATAAAGTAGTAACAGAAGCAAGAATGATTACATAAAAGGGTTTTTGTCAACTCAAAAAAATTAGGAACAATTTCTCTCTTTATCTTGTAGTTACCCAATAATCAAACAAGATAGCTAGCTGGGGTAAACACAAAATGTACGATGTAACTGAGGATTCTTTTTTTCTTTCACTGTGCTAGAGATTGAACCTAGTTCTCTTGCATTCGAGGCAATCACTCTCCTACTAAATTACATCCCTGGCCCTTTGTATTCTAAATTTTTAGGGGCCAGGAATACAGCTCAGTAGTAGAACAAGTGCTTCATATAAGTAAAGTTCTGAATTTAGTACTCAGAAAAATAAATTTTAAAATTAATTAATTCTGAGATAAGGTCTCATTAATTTGCCCAAGCTGGGCTCCAACCAGCAATCCTCCTGCCTCAGCCTCCTGTGTAATTCAAAACTTCAGTTATAAGATACTCTCATAAAGAAGAAGCCAAGACAAGAGGTGTTTACCCTGTTTGGGGTTAACAAGGAAACAAGGTCAGCCTAGAGAGAACTAAGAATCACACCCGCATGTCTCCTTCTCCACTGTCATAAAAAAAAGTAGGTATGAAAAGCTGAGACATGCCCCACGGTTTCCTCTCCTAACTGAGTCTATTTCCATCCCTCCATATATTACATCTGCTCTGAAATCCAGAGGGCCAAATGGAGCTCAGGAGTTTGAGATGACTTGGGGGCTGGAAGCAAATAGCTCTAGAGAGACCTCAAGCTAGACAGGCGGTAATAAGGGTCCTTAACATTTTACCAACTGACAGGCGGAGAAGAACAATGCAGGAGAGGGGAAACTGTGCCATGGAAAAATGGAAATAAAGAAGAAAACAAAATAGAGAGAAAATACAAAAGAGCTAGCCCTGAAAGAGAGCTGGTATCCAGGAGCGCATTTTACTTGCCCTATTTCACCATAACCCTGGGATACTTTTAATTACTTGGCTCTTTTACAAACAGCGGCTGACTATTTTGTCAGAGGGTCAGGGATAACAGCAGGACCTGCCCTTTCCTCCTGCTTAAAGGGATACCACCCCCACGTACTTTCAGGGACACCCAACCTGGAACGCTTGTCAAGAAGGCCAGGCATTATCCTGGGCGATCTTTCCCCCAAAAAAAGCCTCTCCCGGAGGCTGTGCTCGCTAAGCCGGCGGCATCAGACACTGTCTAATAACCCAGAATAAGATTTTGTCTGAGGTGCAGCTGACACTGAGCGGTTCTCATACTTAGTACTCACACTGAGACATGTCTGGATAATGGAATTAGAGCGCACAGAAGGAAGCACCGTTCAACAAAATGCAAACCTTAAAAAAAAAAAAAAAAAAGGCACTAAAATTTGGAGAAAATAACGAGATTTTCTTCTGCCCCTTTTCCTCTCTGTTTAGGAAATACACCTCTTTTCCTAGATGAAACTGACTATTACACTTTGTGCACGCATTTAATTAAAGTATTCATTTACAATTCCAATAAGATTTGATAGAGAAATCTATTACTCACTAAAGCTAATTAAAAGGATGCTTATGTGTAAAATTCAGCCCATTTCTGCCTAAGGCAGGAAAATCGTGCTCACAATGGGGTTAAAAATTACTATCATTTCTTATTTGTTTTTCTGTCCTCTATGCCTTGATATTTTACTTGTCTCTCTTAACTGTAAATCTTTAAAATTGCACAACCTCAATTAAGAAAAATAAAAAGCAAATCGAGAGTCAGTTTTCACAGAGGAATGTTGTTGGCTCAGGCCCCAGATATTTTTTGTATCTCCAGTGAATTGTTTTGTAAAATTTCCAGGAAGTTTGGGAAAGCTGTGCATTGACATCACTCCGCAGACCCTGAAGAAGCTTTGGCTGGGGAAGGACGGGGCCTGGCTGACCATCTGGGGCCTGCGCCCACGGGGACCAGACTCACTCAGCGCTGATGGGTTCTGCAGAAACCTTGATACCTCCCGGTTTTCTTGCATTTGTAGTCATTTTATCGAGGAACATTTTAACAGCTTAACCATATTTTGCTTTATCTTTGTTCCAGATTTTCTCCTTTCTTGGGGTTTGTCTTTATTAAAATAAATTCTTTGTTAAAATAAAAAATTTGAATTGTGATATAAACAGCCAAGCTAAATGTCTGGGTTATTTTCATCAAAAAAAAAAAAAAAAAAAAAAAAAAAAAAATCTATCAGTCTGCACGACTGAAGAATGTATACATAAAAATACTATATATGATTTTTCATATTTCAAACCATTTTGATTTACGATGCTTGTCCATTTTACATTAAAAACAAAGTCATTTTAAATCACTTTGCTAACTGGAAGGGCTTCTTTTACCCTGTTACATTTCTGTTTTAATGAATAATGTTATATTGAGATAGAAGTTGTATTTCACATGAGCTTTTCAGAGTTTTCTAATCATAAATTAATCCAAATTGATAAAATATTAAAATAGTAGACTGAACTCTGAAAAATATTTTTTGAGGAAAATATAAGGAAAACAATTGTCTCCTTTAAAATATTACTTTTAAATATGTTTCTCATAGAAAAAGGCACCATTTTTTTAGATTTTTTTTCTTTTTTCTTTTTCTTTCTTGCTTGCTTTTGTGTATATAGGGGTGTGTGTGTGTGTGTGTGTGTGTGTGTGTGTGTGTGTGTGTGTCTGTGGTAGTGTGTGTCTGGGCCCTTGCACTGAAGTACTTCCCAGCTTCTTTTAAAATTATTTTTATTCTGAAACAGGGTCTTGCTAAATTACTAAATTTCCAAAGCTGGGCTCAAAGTTTCAATCTTCCTGTCTCAGCCTCCATAAGTGCTGGGATTACAGGCCAGTACCACCATACAGAGCTTATAAGAATGTATTTTTAAGGAAAAATAGGTGATCTGGAAAAACAAAGGAGATTCCTGAGCATTTACGTGTTTGGTACATGCTCATTTGCAACTCTGCATGTTTAATCAGGCTTATTTACAATATCTTAATTCATTTGTATGTCATACATGCCATGGAATCCAGCCTTTTTGAATTGTACAATTAGATGGCTTTCTTTACTTTATCTGCATAAATGCCCTGACTTGTTCAATCAAAACCAAACTGAAATGTGAATGTTTTCACCACCTAATAGGAAAGCCAGGATCATCGCTGTCTGTCTCCCTTCCCCCACTTCCTGTCCCTTATCCCCCCCCATCCTGAGGTAGTCACCTTCTATCTCTGTGTGAAGATTCTTGTCTCCTGTTCTGCATGTTTCACACAAATGCCATCAGGTAGTTCCTAAACTCTGTTGACAGGCATCCTTCCATTAGTGTAACATTTGCAAGGCGCATCCATACGGCAGCATTTACCCCATTCCATTTCCTGGCGGAATAAAAGACCTAGTTATCTAGGCTTGAATATGTTCCTTGCCTCTTTATTCAATGGTTTAAGTGAAATTCTACTAAACATCTTTTCATCTTGGTATACAATGGCTCTTCCAAAAATGTATTGCTTTTAGATTCTTGAAATTCCAAATTATTCTGTGTCTTGCTAACCTTCTCTTTATAAGAGACAATGTTTATGTTAAAGAAGGGATCGTCTCCTAAACTCAACTAACAAAAGCCTGAGTGTTCAATAAAAATACACAGAAGAATCTGACAAATGGAATAGTTGAGTCTTTGAAGGAATTAATCAGGAAAGATACATTTTAGATATCCAAGAAAAAACTTACAGATGAACGGATTCCAAGCATGTTTTATGTTTCTTATAGGAGAGTTAATATTCTTCGAAGATTTGCTGTAAAGTGTTTATACAAAAGCATTCAACAGTGTGTCTGCCACATAATGTGAAAAGCCGCTGACATATTTTTAAGGTTTATTTAACCTTCATATTTATCTCATCCACAATAAATATATAGATTGCATGCAACAGAGATTGCATGTCAATATCTCTGCTACTTCACAGACGGGGGGTTTGAGGCTTGGGCATATTCTAGATTATGTATCTAGCAAATAGAACACCCTGGTTTCTAACCCTAGTTTCAAAACCTGAGCTTAAATTTTGTTCTTGGACATGTTGCTATGAAAATTTTCTAACACATGGGAAGCTTAGAAGAATGTTGGAGGGGATATTACTCACCACGATTCTGCAATTATGCAGTGTTATATATAATATATATATATATATATATATATATATATATATATACTATTTTAAAATGTATTTCAAAGTGAATTATAGACATCAATATCCCTCTTGCCTCAGATGTTGTATTGGATAATGTTGGAGTACAGTTTGTTTACAATTACTTGTTTGTCTACAGTTTACAGTTACTTTTGTAACTGTAACTTTTGTTTACAGTTACTTTTCTTTTTTACTCATTTTAGATAACATTTACAAGCAACAAAGTGTACAGAATTGAGATGTACAAATATACACATACATCTGTGTGACCCACTGCTCACTGAGGTACAATGTGACTGTGTCCTCGTGTCTGTACCTTTACTTGATGGATAGAAGAATGAATTCTCTGACATGACTGGAAGCTTTGAAACTATCTGAACATCCATCTACAGTCAGAGAGACATTATTTTATAAGGAAAAGTCTTAGACTAGAAGAATCCATCTGAATTTAACAGAATTTAAAAACCAATAGAAAAGTAGAGTATTTTTAAGGAAAAGCAATCTGATATGGCAGTTCAGTTGGGTGACTCAAATCAGAAGTCATGACTTATCTATTTTATTGTCTCTTGTTCTCAGCCCGTTTCCCCAGCTTTAAAGCACAGTACTCCTCCCAGACCTCTGTTCTAGGAAGCTCTCATTGGCAGGCGGAGTCCGCATCTGCTCCTACAGAGCTGCATTGTCCAGTGACCAGGTTTGCCCCCTACTCTTCATTCCTGCTCTTAGAAAACTGCCCAGTAAGAAACCAGGCTTCAGAGGAACATACAGCTGAGCAGACCTGGACCAAGCCCACAGACTGCCCAGGGGACTGGGACACCAGCTTGAACTCTCAAGTCGAGGAGGATTGTGAGCTGAATTGGGGTGCAGAAATACCCACTTCATGGGCATGGGGTGAAGATTTTAAAAGATAATACACATAAAATTCTATCATAAACATCCATTGTCATAGTCATCACGGTCATCATCATTGCAGAGACATAAATTGCTACGGTTCTTAAAGGTGACACTAGTCAACTCTGCCCTCTCCTTAGCCTCTGTTCATTCCCCCTCACAACACTCTGTAGATTATGTGTTTGTGTCAGTGTCACAATCCACATGACACTGAGGGTATGCAGAGCGACACATTCATCTGTGACTTCAACAGTAGCCCAGGACATTTTTAATATTTGCCAAACTAATGGATAAAAAAATCAAGCCCTATTGCATTTTGTGCCTGGGGCTCAAAGACCATATTTGTTTTCATGTCCTTTTTCTGTTTATATCAGGTGTAGCCTTAATCAGTTCATTTCTATTTATTTTCAAAACAGTGACTTCAAAATCATAACACATAATTTCCACATCTTTTCTTGGAATTATGCATCTATAAGGACATCACAGCCTATCTAAAAGTCCTTAATTGAGCTTATTTATGCCTTAAATTGCTTTAAATTACTTTGCTCTGAGATTTATGCTGTAACACCTAGTATTCAAAATTGAAGACGTTTATGGGAAAAACCAGGGAACATATTTGTGCCTTGTTAAGTGAAGTTTTCCATTCTTGTCCAGGAAAGTAATGATTTATCTGACTTAGGTCTTGTTCTCTTCTCTCTAGAGAAGGGGACTTTTTGGTCATTTGGAAAAGAAGTAGTAAAGAAGAAATATGGCCTAAGCGACTAAGACCCTGGTAGAACATACTAGGATGATAATTTACGTACAACTCTGTCATCTTCTGGCTTGCTTCATTCAGGACTGGGCACCCCCTTCTCGTTCACTTCCCTCATGCTATATTGTCACAAGATGCCATCAGTAGCTGCATGGAACAAGAGAATACATTTAAAACAGAAGTTCAACGGGTAGAAAAGCGGAAAAGGGTTTACTCTTGTCAATTGTGATTAACGACTTTTGTAGTTAAGTTTAACAAGACCTTTTCTATGCAATACGTGGTCAGTAGTTATATTTCATCACTGTTACTCAAATACATTTTGATGAAATCTGAGTGTGATAGAAAGCAAGAAATCAGGAGACAAAGCACGCAGTTCCACATCTCAAGCTGACTTTCCCCAGGGGCCAAGGGAGCCCCAACTTTTCTGTGATTTCATTTGACTGCACTCACTTGTCTGGTTACTCTCACTTACCTTTGGGATCTGTCTGGGTTTTATTTCCCCCAAGAAAACTATTACCCAACTATTTGAATTGAGCAGGGCTCCTTTGAAGTACCCTTTGTTTGCCTTTATTGCAGTTCTAATAAGACTATAATTGTCTTTTCTAGTACAGCAAGAGATTTGGGGATTTGTTTTATTTTTTTCACTTCTGGTTCTATATCTTGCATCTTATGCTAAGCAGGAAAATCATTCAGTAAGTGGCGGGGTAATGAATAAGTGAGAACCATTCCCCAAGTTGAGACATTCTGCTAATCGATGTGAGGAACTAAAAGTGCTCTTACCTGCCCCCTGTGGGGTGAACATATAGAAGACTGAATCACTTTGCAATTTATCTCTTCACCCTCTCCGTGTCTGCCTGCTGTATTGTCTAGGATCTTAGGGTCTGAACCAGCTGTGACGGGTGATAGTCACTATAAAGTTTCATAAGACATTTACACTCCCTCGGTCCTAGGTTCTGGTCAAGAACTACAGGCTTTGTTTAAATGTACAAATTAATTATTTAACTGGATTCACTTTATTTTTAATGTAGGTTATTGACTGGTAAGCTAGTCGGTACAGTCAATATTTTTACGGAAGATGCCACAGTCACCATCAATATGCAGCTCTGATTTTCAGCTAACAACAGTAAAAACTGGATAAAAAAAAAGTCTCCAAAATGTATTTTATATTTTTTTCAGTTCTAATTTTTTTTGATACCACTTTACAATGCAGGCCTGTGACATTAAGTGTGTTCTTGATGTTAATGTAGCCATCATTCCTAGTAACCTCCAAAACTATCCCACCATACCAGTCTGCAATTTTGTGCACATTTAGTTAATGGTCCATTCTCATCTCTGCTGAGCACTATTTTCTCTCTATAAGCTTACCTATTTCAGGTACCTTATCTAAGAGGAATCATTTTTCTGTCTGATTTGTTTCACTTACAACAATGTCATCAAGGCTTGTTGCTGGTGTAGCATGAGTCAAAATTCCAGGACATTTTTTTTTGAAGTTGGATAATAATTCACTGTATCTATATACATTTTGTTTTATCTGTGGGCATCTGAGTTTCTTGTAACTTTCGGCTACCATGAGCAATGCTTTATAAATACTGACATACAAGCATTTGTTTCATTCCCTCTTTTTAGATGTTTAGGCTCTGTATCTTAAGAGTGGAATTCTTATAGTAATTACATTTGGCATTTTGAAAAATTCTTTTTCTATAGTGTATGAAACATTCACAACAGCAACTACATGAGTGTTCCAATTTTCCACATCCTCACTATCACTTTTGTATTTCCAAGTTTTAAAATAATAACCATCCTTATGGATGTTTGGCGATTCACTGTGATTGTGATTTTCATTTCCATTCTAGCTAGTGATGTGGAATATCTCTTCAGGTGCTTACTCGCCTTTTGTATACCTTCTTTGCAGAAATGCTGACTTAGGTACTTTGCCAATGTTTTAAACCGGGTTTGTTGTTGTAAGAATTCTTCACATATTCTACTTACTACTGCTTTGTTAGATATGTTATTTGCAGATCATTTCTTCTACTCTGTAGATTATCTTTTCATCCTCTTGTTAGTTGCCTTCAATGTACACTATGTTTAATTTTGCTGAAGTCCAGTTTGTTTTCTCTTTAGTTGCCTGTATTTTCCATATTGCATATGACAAACTGCCTAATTCAATGCCATAAATAATTTCTTTTTCTACTATGTTTTTGTCTATGAGGGTGTAGTTTAAAATTTTATGTTTAGATCTTCAATCTATGTGGGGTTAATTTCTGAGTATAGAAAAGGGTCCAATTTCATTCTTTTGCATTTTCTTAGTACAATTCGTTGGGGACTGTCTTTTCAGCAGTGAATGGTTTTGGCACTCTCATCCAAGATTGACTGTATATATGAAAGTTTATTTCTGAAATCTCTATTTTACTTTTTTTTTTTACTTTCATGTACTCAGAAACTGCATATGCTAGCATTATGCAGTGTACATGAAAGAAAATGAAAAAGATGAAAATTAAAACATTCAAAAGATGCAGAACTAGTAAAAGGGTAAGAAAAGTGTACCTTTACTTCTGTCCAAGAAGAATCCACAGAATAGAATCAGCACCTACTTTATGTGTTAGAAACAACAGAGAAATGACTCTCACTTAAATGTGTTTTTAATAATCTATGAAGTGCTGTCAAGCAATTAATCCTTGGAACTGAACTTACTGCTTTTCCTATGTTAATTTTTAAATTCTCTTCAGGGACAACTTTCCAGCCTTAAACTATTCTTACTCTTTTTCACTATTTGTTTTCTGTAGTTTTCTGCATCATAATAAATCTTGTATCAATTAACTATTGGCATTTCCAGTGAAACTAACCTACTTGTGCAAGACCTGCACACAAACTGATCCATACTCACACATGCATGTATTTCTTTTTGTTTACAACTGTTTACAATTGTTACATAATTTAAGTACCTGTGACTATGAGGAAGAAAAAGACAAATTTTAATCAGTCTAATACAAGGTGTTCCACATAGACTTTTAAGGCTCTAATTTTAGAAGAGGGCTGTATTCCTCAGACTTCCCTTAGTAGAAAAAATTATGATATTCACTGTATTCATTGATGTCCTGTATGACTAACCATTCAGAATGGGAAGTGCTGAAATCAACTCCTATTTAGGATTCTGCTCAAGATCTTTTTGGCTGTTCATAAAGTCCTTCTCTCAGTTTCCTAATAATTATCACTTGTCAATATCCTAGTCAGTTTGTTCTGGGTACATGCACTCATAACTGTTAACCCCAAATCTTGTCACGCTTTCCGATATTTCAGAGACGTTTCCTCAATATTTCCTATGCAAAGCCATTGTTCAAGCCCACAGGTGGCTTGGCACCCACCACCCAGTGGAATCTTCACTCCGCACTCACTTCCTTCCCTTGAATGCACTCTTGACCCAGGGCTGGGCAGAAAGCATCTCAAGGCAGAGACTGTGTTCCTCTTTGGCACAGTTTCACCCATTGTGCTTGGCTCTAGAAGTCTCTTCCCTTATATAAATATCAAATAATAACAAGACAATGTCTCTCTTTCCTCTAGAGGGAAAAGGATGTTTTCTACTATTTACTTTCACCTTTCCCTCTTTTCCTTTACACATCTCAACTGAAATTTGAAATTTAAAAAAATAACCGCTACACATGCATTTTCAAACTAATCCTCTATACATTGTTATAATGTCTTTAAAAATAATCTTAATTTCTGCTGCATTTTGGTATGGCATTGTGAGTGAATGCTGCTTTGGATACTTAGAAAAAAATTATTAGGAAAGAAGGTAAACATTAAAAATGAAATGGAACTTGTCCTAAAGCCCTCCATTCACCTAGGCTGTGGCAAGCAGGAGAAAAGAAAAATTACGAGGTGCAGTATTGATTTTGATAACTATCAAGAAAGGAAAGTAGGTCCAAAATCAGAGAGGAAAATATGAGCATTGTGAAATGCCATGTCTTCCTGACCATGAGAGATTTATTTATTGGAAATTATATCGCAAAAATGTCTAAATAAATTAAACCCCTAGTTAGAATGTCACATGTAGCTGCGTTGCAGAATATAGCCATAATTTTGCAGTTATGTAAACGGAGCTGTCAAGCCCTTGTTATTTTAAAGCTGGAACCAGGCAGCTCCTTTGACAGCCCTGTGGTCCCAGCTCACAGCCTGATTCATGGCTGGCGCTGAGACACAGGAAGTTCATGTCTGCTATAATCCAAACACTGTGAAAATGGAACATAAGAAGCAGTGCAGAAAGGTAAGGATAGGCTAAACCCTATAACCTAGATGAGAACCATGCAACCTTTGAAGGAAGCAGAAGGGAAAACTTAAGCCCACAAACTATAGCACCAGCTTAGACACAATTAGGGGGACATATGGCTGGCTGCAGAAAGTGTAGGTCACAGTCCAAAATAAAAATGAAGGGACTCCAGTTAGAAAACGATTAAAAATTTCAAGACGGTGACAACAGGGTATTAAACCAAGTGTGCTGTGGGGACCTTAGATGTGGGCCCCCATGGACTGCACAGTTGCTAGGCCTGGAGGAGCACTGTAAACCCCTGGAGAGCTGGGCAGCAATGAAATGTCCCTGCCTCAGCCAGCAACACTGTCCTTCATCCGTCTCTTGTACAACAGCATCGAGCATTTGAATGTTAACATGGATAGTCATTTTTCACATTTTAGAATTGCTTTTACTATGTGGTTGTACAGCAAATGCTCATGGTAAGTGTAATTCTTTCCATATTTTTCTGCTCAGGTACAGTAATCTGCCTTGTGCACCAATGCAACAACAATAAAATCTGTCTAAAGACTGTGACGAGTGACTGTGACAGTGTACACTCTTCCAATAGCTACTGGGGAAGAGGGATTTTTAAAATATGTCACGATACATCTGTTCAATTGCTTGTTTCTTTTCCTATCCTAAATGAAAACAAGCAATGTCTTATTTCTAATAACACAAAAATGTAAATGTAGCTCTCCCAATTTTTCATTTAAGAGGAAATTACATATTGCTCTCATTATTGCTCTGGATAAGCAAAGAAAAAGCTTAAAATTTTGTTTTCAATAAATCATGCAAATATAAGAGCACAGGTCAAGATAGAATATGGAGGGAGCATATTGAATTAGCAAGCATGATTCTCTAAGTGTCTCTCTTGTTAACAAATGGGTGAGTACTTCTTCTAAAGACCAGAAGCTCTGCTCAGTGCCCTTTCATTTGGTGAGCTCAACACAGAGATTCTGGTGCCCTCAGGAATCTCAGTGGAATGGGAGCACTATGTGCTACAATTTACCTGCCTCAGAGCCCTGTCAGCAGGCAGTGGTAGCCATTCTGTTTCACCCAGAGTAGTTGGACCTCTCACATAAAATAAGATAAAATAAAATAAAATAAAATAAAATAAAATAAAATATAGCCTGCTGCAGGTCAGTGGAGCTACAATGAGTGGAGGTAAATTTTAATTTCACACTGCAAGTCTTAATGATTGTCCTCCAAGTTGACTGCCAATTCAGCATGAAATCTCACCACATTTTAATAATCCGCCTTTTGTCTGGAGTGGAGAGACTTAGAAATAGCACATGTGTTATATTTGGAAAGAGATTTTATGTGCAATTAGGATCCTGAGAACCACAACAACGTAGCCTCATTCAGGTTCCTTAATTGGGCCAAGAGGAAACTATCATTTCTGAAACAATTTGGGGGCCTTAACCTTTCTTCAACTTCTCTAAAATACTTGGAATTATTTGGATGTGTCTGCTTATTTTCAACGCTTCCATTTAATTTTAAAGACACGAATTTTATAGATGTGCATTTGTGTTATTATGTGAACATTGTTAGTCTCTTTCATTACACTGTAAAACTGTGAAGAAAATTGTCATTTATCAGCGATTCTATGTGACAGTTTTTAAAAACTGTTTTTTAATGCAAGCTTAACAGAATTCTACTCTCTGCCAATGCTCACAGTCAAATTATTATCAATAGGGAAATTATTTCTGCACAGACCCTAATAAAAAGCTGAAAATTTAGAAAAAGTCATCTTTGAAACAATAATGATATCCCAGAGGTTTTGACTCATAGCCATGGAATGAGTCTCTAAATAGTTTCAAATAGTCTCCTAATTGTTGCACACCACCATTGAAGTAGTGAAATCAAAATGTTAAATAAAATAATTATAAATGAAGTAGAGAAAATCACTTTAGTTTGTTTTAATCAATATTTTATTTCTTGCAAACCACTGACTGCTGTGTTGAGAATCAATGATTCAATGCATCCCTTGTAGTTCAATTGACTTTTTGCTCTTAGACGTTCTGCATAGCTATTAATGCAAAATGGAATTAAAATAGAGTGCTGTGCAGCCGGACCTGAATAATCCATACATAGTTTATCCAGCACCCCAGGGTATCTGAAAAGACTGCTGGAAGTGAACCAGGCTGACATCCTCCATATACTATTGACTTGTTGAATCCTAATTCTTTAATCTGAATAAAAATAGCATTTTCAAGATGACTCATACTGGAGAGGTCCAGCTATAGCCTAATCGATAATTCCTTAGAGACAGAAGACTGCACGTTAACCAAATGGTGTGTGGTAGATAAACAAAGAGCAGAGGAAGAGTGTGTGCGTGTTCTTGTGCACACACCTACACTATAGTGAACACCCATTTAATTTGCAGAAACGTAATAATTGGAGTTAGATGAAAACACAGTAAGAACAAGATATGGGAGAAGAGTTGAAACCTGGTAAAATCCCCTCAACCATGTGATCAGGTTGCTCTGCAGAGGTTTATATTTTCAATTAAAATATAACTTGTGTTTAGATCATCTTTTAAAATAATATCTAGACGAAACTTCCATTGTTCATTTAGGTTCATGTTAATAGCTTTCTTATTTGCAATAAAATTTTCCCTCAACTGTATTCAAAGTATCCATCACTTCACGATAACATTCCGTGTGGGTATGTGGTGAGAATAATCCAACTCAGTTCTTACCATATATCAACAATTCACGGTTTTGTTAGTGCAGTGCCCATGGTATACATTAGATCTCAGGTATTTATTCATCCTATAGAACTGAACACTTTGAACAACGTCTCCCCCCCCCCATTCCTCATTTCCTAGAAATCAGCATTCTATGATCTTCTTTTATGATTTTGACTTTTCTATTTCATATTTCATGTATAGGTAAGATACAGTGTTTATCTTTCTGCCACTGGATTATTCCATCTAGTGCAATATATTTATGCTAATAGTGCATTTTTAAAGTAATGTTTTCTGCAGTTGTATGACATGAGTTCACTACTCTAAATACCAGTATTATTTAAAAAGAATTTTATATTGCAGTTATATGACCAATCTAGTCTAAAAGGTCATCAACTGTATGATGCACCATAATTTTATGCACCACTAAGAAAAAGGAAGCTGCCCACTAAATTATTGAAATGTACTCTCATCCGTTAGTATTTTTATTAATTAATTTTAATATATTTTGTTTAAAGTGCTTTTAGGGTTATTTAGATATTGTTTTTATTCCTAAGATGTTTTTACCTCCTATTTTGATTAAAATTTGCTGATAAACCAGGGTAAGATGATCTCCATCTTCTGTCCAAGTTTCCAGGAAGCTGAAGCATTATATGAACCTAGAAGTTTCAGGCCAGCACGTGTAACATTGAGACCTCTGTCTCTTTAACCACATGCATACATTCATTCACACATCCACATATATAGTAACTGCTATCTGTGACTCTATACACAATTCCAGCCTCTATCTATTAGGAACATTGGTGATAACATTATCTACAGTAGCAGCTTCCCAACAGCTGATGCCCTGTATCACATTATGTCCATGTATCTGTGTGTGTTTTTACATGCATCACAACTTTTTGCTAGCTTTTGAGATTGAAAATCACCAAGCCTCAAAGGAAGTTAAAAGAATAACACAATGAAAATCCTTAAACCCTGAGAGCTGGCATATATTGCACAGCTGCTTTATCGCTTTCTTGATTATTGAATTTTGACGAACCATTTAAAATAAGTCAGTGACAACCTAATACTCACTTGTAAACACTTGAGCATGTATCTCTGACACTCAGGACTTTAGTTCACACATTCATAATGACATTAGCCTTTGCCAGGATATTTGCGGTACCTCAGTCATACGTGAAATGTGTATTTGAACTTCTTCAGTTGTCCTAAAATATTTTTGAGGGGCTTTCTGTTCCTGTGACCCAAGTTCCCATAAAGTTAGTTACTATGTTTTTGAACTTCTCCCTCCTAATCTGGCAATGCTGCCCCCACTGGGTGTGAGTGCAGGTGTGTGCAGATGTGTGTATGAAACAGACTTTGTTAGCGAGGCCAGGTCTGTCTTGTACAGTGTCTAACATGGATTTACCTGAAGGTTTTTCATATGATTATATTTGAATTAATATTTTTTTACAAATGCTATGTCAGTGATGGGATAATATATCTACTTGTTCAGTTTTTTCACACAAGGGAGCCAATAGTGTTATTTTGTCCCAGCATTCCTATCACTAAGCTTAATTACTTGGTCAGTCAGATGACAATTCCATTTTAAAGCTAGTAGTTCCCTTAAAAATTAATAACTATCTACAAAGAAATGCTGTAAGACCTTGTCAGTGGTCCATTTCCCCAACAATTAGTTAATGGTCTTTAGTATCCATTAATAACATCTAAGAAAAAGATTAGATTAAAAATTACAAAACATTCTATAAGTTTTGACACTCTTGTGTCCTTGATCTTATCTTAAAAATAGGCATAAAGTTATACAATGAGCAGTAAGGAATCACATAAGTTAGAATAAACTATACATTGTATATCATGTAAACTACTTCTAATACTTATAAATTATCAAATTAATTATTTTATATAATTATTAAAATAATAATTTCAATTATCATTCAGTATTTAATTGTTCAGTTAGCCATGAAGTATACCAATTGTGTTTGCATTTTCACAGACAATTACATATATCATATGAATACATCAACTAGAAGATGAAACTTCACTACAGAGAGGAGAATGAATGGAAAATGGCAATTCATATAGTAGCCAAATACTAGCACATAATTTCTGAAATTATCAAGTAAATTCACAACAAAAATAGAGTTGAATTAGCAGATTAAAATAAATCAGAATGAGTGAATCACTGCATAGGTGACAGCCCAGAACATATTCAAATGCATATGTACATGCTTGATTTGAAAATCATAAACATGCTGTTAATTTGGTGTTAATATCATAAAGAGTTAAACTCCAATGCATGCTCAGGAAAAATGTCATGGCAGGGATTAGCAAGTGGTAAGCAGAGCTCCTGGTATTAACACACATAGGAAAGAAAGTCATCACAGGGACTGGGCAGCACTGGGTGGCAAGGCCAGGCACAAGGAACTCTCAGTCAGTTTCTTTGGGAGCTGTGATGCTGACATGCACGATCCTCAAAATTACCCTAAACTGCTCAGAAGCAGTTGAGATTGTAGACACTTTACCTGATTAGTCATTGAATGAGGAGACTCCCCATAAAGGTGTGACTTTGGCAAAGGCCATCTTCTTAGAGACATCCAACAAGGAAAAGAAATGCTTCAGTTCTGAAGGTGGCTGGGATACAGGTGGATATAGCCACATCCTCTACAAGAAATCTAAATAGAGTAGATACAAACATTTATGGCACAGAATGATGCAAATTTAATATAAATTTATTCATAATATGCTGCTTTCTGTTCAGCTGCTTATAGGCTATTTATTTTTGGTGAGTTAATGCAAACATCAAAACATATGATGGTATATTTTATGATATATTAAAATTATTTCCATCGTGGCTCTGCTAACATAGTACAGTAGTGCCTTGTCTCACAAACTTAATTTTGATTCTGAAGAATCTTAATTCAATCATAAAGACTGAGTTAAGAAACTTAACAATTCTGAAGAAGAGGCTTGTGTTTATGTGGGGAAGACAGTTCCAATCCTTTTGTCACTTGAAGCATGGGAAGCAAAGGGAAGCAAAAGTTTGCTCAGTGCTTCTCTTTGGGAATCAAACTGTGAGCAGATGCATGCATGAACTAACCTATTACTGTACGTTGTATGATATTATGGTTTATATTGAAGAGAAAAGCATTTCTATTCATTTGGCTAACAGTTTATCTTCTTCGAAGTTGGATTCTTGGTATCCTGTTTGGTTGATGAGTTTGTTAAAGTAAGTGTCACAGGATAGACTAATAATTATTTTACTGAAGCTTTATAACCTGTATTGCATATGTTTTAAACACCAAGTTTTGTAAAATATGGGCAAGTACTCATCTACTATGAGCTGACAAGTTATATTTAAATTAATTAGTACAGTGGCAGACAGTTTCTGGTTTTATTTTATCGTGCTAAGCATATTCATTTATTTAATAACATTATCTCTAAATATATTATGGACCACATAAATTCTACATGTGGATATGAAATCAGAACTAAGCTCAGAGAGAGACAGAGAGAGTGACAGAGAGAGACAGAGACACAGAGGCAGGGTAAATAGATTAGTAACCTTCCCTATTACTTAACTAGCTGTGTGAGTTGCATGTTTGACATATTACAAAAGTCTGTCATAGAATTATTATAACAGACATAGATAAAATATCTGTCATGTATCAGTGTATTCATTTAGTATCATGTGTTTTTCCTGTTTGTGAAGAGTGGAACAGATGGTTTAGTAAATGATACATTTTGAGTGGTTAAATGTAAAAGTTATAAATATACATAGTATATCAACTCAAAAATCAGTCATGTATTGATATTTATTATTGACATGGAATGATATTCCTATTATATTAACTGAAAAAGAAGATCATATTGTGCTTAGGGTGAGTTCACTTTCATAAATATCAGCAGGTGTCTATATGTATAGATATGTTCGCTATCTTCCTACTACTGTGTAACAAACTAAGAGAAATTTAGTGACTTAAAGCAACAAAAAATTATCTTACAGTTCTGGGGGTCGTAAATCTAAAAAGCATCTCACTGCTAAATACAAGATGATGGCAGGGCTGCATTATTTCTGAAGCCTCTTGAGGAAAAACCCAGTTCCTTGTCTTGTATACCTTTCTTTAGCGTGTGCTCCCTCCTTTCATCAAGTCCAGCAGCAGAATCTCTTCTACTCTTTCTCTTTGACACTGACTTTTCTGTTTTACCTTTCTACTTAGGAGAACTTTGTGATTACTCTGCATCCATCTGGTTCAGAAAATCCTCTTCAACACATAGTATGCTGGCAATCTAACCAGAGGAAGTTACTGACATTGTGATGTATTGTTTAATATATGTATATGTGTGTACTTCTGTATTATTGACCTTAATTTTTCTGGTCTTAATTTTTCCTTGCTATGCTACATATGTGTGTTGTGTATACATACATATGTGTGTATATTTTTAGATTAATATTAACTGTTTTCTTTAATCTGAATTTTCCTATTTTTCTATAATAAGCATGAATTAATGGAATGGAATGAAAAAATAACTTGCAAGAGAATGAAAAAACAGCTGTATTCTGGGAGAAAACATTTGTGGAACCCATATCGGATGAAAGATAGATACTTAAAATGCATAAAGAACTATTAAAAATCCACCATAACTAAACAACATAATTTAAAAACTGGGTAAAATATTTGAATAGATACTTCCCCAAAGAAGATACACCAAGAGCAGAAAAGCATATGGAAAGAAGTGATGCGAACAGGGAGTTGTAAATTAATTCAGCAGTGGTGTATCATTATACACCTACCAGAAGGCCAAATTCTGCAATACTGACACCACCACACACTGAGGCAAAGCAATAGCAACTCTCATTTATTGCTGGTGGAAATGAACCACTGTGGAAGACAGTTCTGCAGCTTCTTACAAAACCAAACATCCTATTGTGCAATCCAGCAAATGTGCTCTCTGATATTCATACAAATGAGATGAAGTCCTTTGTCCACATAAAAGTCTGCCTTATTCATAACTGCCAAAATTTAAATGCAACATACATCCTTCAATGTGAAAAGATAAAGTACTCCAGACAATAGAATGTTATTCAATGATTAAAAATGAACTATCAAGCCACAAAATACATAGAGGAAACATAGAAGTATATTGATAAATGAAAGAAACCAATCTGAAAAACGTATAGACTTAATGATTCCAACTCTATGAAATTTTAGAAAAAGACAAGGCCATTAGGATAGTCAAACAATCAGAAATTACCAAGGGTCTAGGAAAGGTCCAGTAGGTTAAAGGAGGGGGAGGAAAAAGAGTTTGCACATAGAGGGGTCGTAGGACTGTGGGTCTGTTCCATATTGCTGTAACGCTGGACAAATGTCATACATTTTTTCAAAACCGTTAGAACACAGAACACAAAGAGCAAACTCTAATGTAACCTACAAAATTTAGCTAATGTAGCAGCCCTGCCTCATCAGTTTCATGAAAGGAGCCACACTATTGCAGAAAGTTAAGGAGAGGTTAGAGAGGGAGCAGGATGATTAATGAAGACAGAAAAAACACAATTACCTTTTAAAAAATATTTACACTGAAGCTGAGCATGGTGGCACATTCCTGTAATCTCATCACAATTTAAATTGTTCTCCTTGGACAATTTCTGTATCATGAACACCAAAATAAGATAATTTAGTATCTATGAATGTATTTGACTGAGATACTATTTTATAAAACAAAAGCAATACAGTGGAAGTCAGTGAGGTCTAAAAGAGACTCCAATAGACTAAGAAGAATATTTTCATGATTCATCTGCAACTTATTATGTCCTATCAATTTCCAATAAAAGTGAATCATACTACATGATGATGCACAGAGTTCTGAAGTCAATCTGAGTTCAACGCCAGTTCTGTCTCTCCATCTGTGATTAGTGTTACCTCACAGTGAGCTCTAAGTGTTAGCTACTACAGGGGAGGGTTTTTGATCTTCCATATTAACTCAATTAAAAAGAGAATCCATTTTCAATTTCCCATCTTTATCATTGTTAGGCTCTTTCTAGCAGACTTTTCATTAAGGTGGCTTCCACATAGGACTTTCCACTTCAAATAAAACATTCCATTTTTTATCTCCAGGGCCCTCCATAAAAGTAGTTCAGTTTTTTGCCTCCTCTCTCTCTCTCTCTATCTCTCTCTCTCTCTCTCTCTCTCTCTCTCTCTCTCTCTCTCTCTCTGTCATAGTACAGAAAACCGCAAATACAGTCATATCTTAGAATTTAACTGTTTTGAAATTCATCAAATTTAATATTCAGCATATTTTGACTCCAAAATTGTGTGTAAGTACTTGTGGTTTGGTACTCAGTGTACAAGCTAGAACTAGCCTGGGTCAATTGCCTCATGACTCCCAACCTTGCCAGCCAAAACAATTTGCTCTGTACTTGTCAGGTTTGGTACTTGTCATTCCTCCCAGAACCAATTAACTGTGAGTATCGAAGTACTGCTGGGCTTAATTTTGCATAATTTTGGCCAATGTGAGAGCCAAGATCACCATGGCAGGAGCCCCATAATTAAGCCACTAAACCAAAGCCTCTCAACAGTTTCCACAAAGGTGCAGAAATGCTGGCCACATGAACCCAGCCACACCATCCTCCAGACAGACTGTGAGGAATTAGACACTTCTAAGATTTGGGGGAAATATGATTCTTCAGAATACTTCCTGCCTACAGTCACGTACATTATATGTGGAGTTTCTGCTTCTGACACACGGACCGAGCTCCAGCTTAAGAGAAGTCTGGCTAGCAAGCCCTGCACAGTTCAGGTTTCCAGGTGCATCACATACTTGGTGGGCCTCATTCCATAAGTGGCATTAGTTGTACTTTCTATTTTCCACTGAGACAGAAACTTAAGATGTTTCCCTCTTTCATCCAACAACCCTGCTTTTGTTACCTTGTCTCATGTATTTCTGGGAGCTTAAATGCTTAAATTCAAGAAAGGATGGGGGGAACTCTCTCTGGTGACACTTAAGCCTTTAGGTGCACAGACAAAATGTTTTCTTTTTCTTAAAGACAGAGGTTGCCAGAAACCCAGAACTAGTCATTGATACAGCCTTTGACTACGCCACGTACACCTAGTTTGCTTCTGCTAACTACCTTCACTAATGTCAGATTTATGCCTTCATCTAAAATACAACTGATTAAGTTTCCATCTCTGCAGGACTTTTTACTTTTTTAACACCAGAGATTCATTTTACTTTTCCGGAGCACTCAATAGAGTCTAATAATTCTCTGCAAACTGAGTTGCCAAAGCTGCACCAGAATTTTGATGTTTCCATTAATAAAAGATACATGCCTGCAGGAGGCACGGATTTGTGATCTCAGGATCCAGAGTTTAGGGGCAAAGGGAAAATGGCTCGCATCTGTACAATGATTAAATGTGTGTTCAGAGAGAGAAACTCTAAAGTGTCTCTGCAGATCTAACAAGACCTATTTGGACCTGGAGCTTGCCCCTGCGGGGCGGGTTTGACAGCTTTATCTGTGTCAGTCACTGGAGCTCTCTCCAATTCGCACTTGTCAACACACCATGGCAGCTTCTGAGCTGCAGATGGGGAGAGGAGAGACATCCAGAGGAAAACCTGACGGTCAGAGCATCAAAATGCAAATTTATAAAACAGGGACAAATGGAGACAATTGAGCCTA